TCTGCAGGTGAAGGTCATCCTGGGGTGGTCATCTGTTTTCGTCAATAGCTGTATTATCTGTTAAGTGGTTTAGTTTGGTTCTCTGTGGTCCTTCCTTTGCTCTTAAAATAGCACAGAGATTTGGGCTTCCTCAGTACGTACGGTGAGCGTGCACTTGATACCGAGACATCAGAGGCTATCAATCTTGCTTTTGGGTACTAGAAACAGAAGTTTGTGAAACTTATTAACATTGTGAAAAGTCAGTTATTACCTCTTGAATGGGTTTGGACCCTTAAGGAAGTGATTGTAAATGAGAGCTATCTTTTTTGTTGGTTTGTTTTTCAATTTTTAGTACAAAAGTATACTGGAAAATAATGTTTTTGTATTGTTCTYTAATAGTTTCATGATAAAAACTAAAATTCACCCAAAACCTCTGGTCTCATCATTTCCATCCTTAAAATAACCAGACTGTGAAGCGCTGGGCTCGCTCCACTGTGAGGTGTCTGCAGGCTTCCTGCAGARGAGTCTCCAAGCTCACCTGGTCTGTGTGGGCAGGGCTGTTGCTGGAGCTCAGGATTCACTTCTCCAGGATGAGCCATCAGAATCTTGCTGCCTTATTTGTCCATTGCTTGCAGGGTTCCTTTTCTACACGACAGAATCCCCAAACTGAAGACAAAACCTAGGACTCCACAGGAAGCTCCAGCCCACTGCAGAGCAGCATAGCTCTGCTCCTGGTGGGTGCTGCGGCCCATGTGTTCTGCCCTGTAGCATCTGCAGCTGGCCTGCAGCTTGGTGCCTCTCGRAGAAGGCATCCGTGAGGCACAGAACCTTCCTGGGTCATTCGCCAGAGCTGGGGGATGTCAGGACACAGCGTATGGAGATGAGATTAACGCAGTAAACACCAGGGCTCCAGTGCACCTTCCTGCCCCACTTACCTCACTCCACACCTGGCTGTCTTTCTCAGGGCTACCCGGATGTCCCCATTCCTGGAGCCCCAACCATCAGTCGGTGCTCCACAACTCGGGAGAGAGGAAAGGGCAGGCATGAGTKACTTAGGAAGTCCTCCCAGGGCCTCCACGGGGGGCTCCACCAGGGCCTCCACCAGGCTCCCTGGCCCCTGAGGCTGTGGAGGAGGCGGTCAGCCTAGGCCCTCTTTCTTGGCGCTGCTGTCTGCCACAGGAAGCTTCTCCTTGGGAGCAGCCTGGCTGCAGATCTGGAGGCTAGCAGTGTCCTCCAGATCTTGATTTTGAGACTGAATGTCAGTGAGCTGACTGGAGCTTGAACTCCAGGAGGTCTTGATGCCTGCATTGTCTGCAGATAGGAGGCCTGGTGTGGTTTCATGCCGATGTCACCTCACTGAAATTCCCTGGGGCTTTTGTTAAGTGGGAAGAAGAAGCAAAAGATTAAAACTTTTCATTAACACAGTTCTGTGGACCATCTTGGAGAATGGAACCTGTGTGTATGTCCAGTGTTGAGAGGCGTAGCCTGGTAAAAGTGCACTTGTTGCCTGGCTGGTGGCACCTCAGTGTGGAAGTGGCTGGCTCTGTGTGTTCCACATCCGTGGAGTCAGGCAACTGCAGATTGAGAGCATTCAGAAGATCGGTGTGTCTACTGAGCGTGGATGGACGTGTGTTTGCGGTCTTAGCAGTGTTTGTGTGGTGCTGTGAGCACCTGGGAGGATGTATGTGGGCACATGCAGGCACCACACCATTCTATATAAGCCACTTGGGCCGCCATGGGCTTTGGTGTCCTGGGTTTTGCAGCCAGGACCTGACAGATACTGAGGGACAGCACAGTGTCATGCCCTAAAAACTACTGGTAATGTTGGTATGGAGTAAAATAATTCCCAGCATTTTATTTTGTGGTTCTGGGGATGGAAACCAGGAGCACTCTTCCACTGAGCTACATCCCCAGGCCTTTATTTGTGTATTTTTTATTTTGAGACAGGGACTAAGTTGCTGAGATAGGCCTTGAATTTGTGATTCTTCTGCCTCAGCCTCCCAAATTGCTGGGATTACATGAGCAGGCCTCTTGCCTGGGTAATTTCCCATATTTTATTTAGTACTGGTCACATTTTTATAAAAGGGTTCTTGCTGTGGGGGTCTCCTGTTGACAAGTCGTCCTGTGGAGGGATAGAAGGAACTTCCGTCGTGATAGTCCATTGCGAGCAGCGTGGAGCAGCAGCCACAAGGCCACACGGGCGACCTGGTACTTCACTGCACACTGCAGCCTATCACTGTCTGGTGCGAGCCCTCCTGCTGGAGGTCACCTCCCGGGGCAGGTGGACCCAGCCTGTCAGCCTGTGCTGGCAAGGAAGCGAGGGCCYGGGGAGGGATCTGGCGGCTCGGGCAGAGGTGTAGTTTTGTTCGATTGCTCCGGTTCCATGCTGCTTCTCCACTGTGCCACTGGCCACCTGGGTCTCCACCCAGCAACCCTCCAGGTTTCACAAAGAACGGGAGCCTGAGGCAGCCAGAGAGCCCTTCAGACTTTCCAGTCCCTTCTCTGTCTTGGCTGTCAGCATAAGTCATACTCCCCAGTCCTTGGTGTCCCAGTAAACGGCGCCCGAGTCCTCTTGCCTGGCTCCCTYATCCTACAGACAACACGAGGCAGGCCCCCAGTGTTGTCCATTCTATTCTGAGAACACCAAACAAATATTCTTGACTCTGCCTCGTATTCCTTACAGCAGTCACTCATGTCTAGGCTTCATTTATTGCAGATTTCAAAAAGGTGTGGTGATTGTCATATCTTATTGGGAGGACACAACGCTTGAAGTCAGGCGGTCTCTGTTCCTCTGGGCATGTGGGCAGGCTGGGTCTTGCTGTCGCACAAGTGCCAGGCCACCTGTTCTTGGCCCAGCAAGCAAGCAGACATCTGATCAAACACACCCAGGGCAGCATCAATCGCATCATGTCTGCTGTGGAGGGTAGCAGGTGCCAKTCACCTTGCGCACTTCCTTCTCCCGAGTGTCAGGGATGGGGCTGATGGTGGGGGCTGCATCTGAGGAGGCCTGGGCAGCACGGAGGAGAGACTGTTTGACATTGTTGTGATTTCAGACACAACTTAAAAGAAGGTTGATAGCACATTCTGCTCCGCAGGTGGAGACCTGGAGGGGTGGTTTGGCCCGTTGGGGTGCCCTGTTTACTGGCTGTTTTGATGTGGTAAATCCCTGGGATATGGATAGAATTTAGCACACTGGACTCTGGGCCAGGTGTTTGATTATTTTCAGCCTGTGTCTCTCTAACATGCCTCTAGATTCCTTAGTCCTGTGGTCCTTAGCATGGGGCTGAAAGGCACAGGAGAGATGTGCCTGCTGATGGCCCTGGTTGTGCTATTCTCTTGGAGAGCCCAGGGCTTCCTCCCTGCTGAGCTCTGCAGTGACAGTGAGTCTGAAGTTGAAGGGCACCCCGCCAGACACCTTGCTGACAGAGATGGTGGCCTGCAGCTCCTCCAGCTATGGCTGTTGGCCTTCTGGCTGGGCATAGCTGTCCTGCTAACATTTCTAAATGGCAGGAATTAGGAACACTTCCAATTGAGGTGRCACTGCTTTTGTGGAGTATGCCATGGAGGAGGAAGACCAGGGCCTACTGTGTGGTTGGTACTCAGTAGCTGTGAGAAGATGGAAGCTCTACTCTGAGAGTTTACAGTTTGACATATAATTTGGAAAACATGGTTTAATGTTGTATGAGTTCTACCTTTCTGGATTTATTAAAAATGGCTTGTGGCTTTGCATCAAGAATGTGCCTGGGTGAGGGTTTCTTTCCTTTTTTTTTTTTTTTTTTAAGTTAAATGAGATGGAATCAGGTCTCAGGATGGCCTGACACTATGGCCCTGCAGTGAAGAAGGGCCTCCAGTATTTGCACTCCTCCTCATGGAGTAGGCCTGACCAGCCTGTAAGCTTCCTTTGGGGTCTTTGGAGGGATGACTTCAAAGGGTGTTTTCAGGGGCGGAGGATACTTGGGTGAGAGATGGTTGAAATTAACCTTGAATAAGCATCAGACTGTGAAACAAGGTGATGTCAGTCAGTTGCCTGTCTAGCTTGGCTTAATAGGTTCTGTCAAAAACTATTCCCTGCTCTATGCAGACTGTTTTTCTAGCTGTGGAGCTGATCACATTTTATTTTTGTCTTTTACTATTTGCTTTGTTAATCAAACAGAAGCAGGTGGATTTGATTTGCTGTAAGTCCTCAGATTGGATTGCTTTGCCTGTTCCCATCTCTAATTAGTCTCTTAAAGTTGAAAAGGTCGATAGCCCTGTCTTTCTGCCAGCGTGCCCCTTACCTCACTCCACAGGCTGGTGCCATCCACTGCGGGGCTGGCTCCTTGAAGTCCACTGTGGAGGTGCGAGGTGCTCCTCGAATCTCACTTCTCATGGTGTGGAGCTGGCTACTCCCSCTGGGTTGTCCCCTCACTCAAGCCTGAGGAGCAAATGCTGGGTGTGCATTAGACCAAGTGCTTGCCACCTCCAGTGTCTGCTGCTCTGTGACGGGAGGTGATGTATCGACACACGACTCAGCAGAGTGTCAGCAGGTTCTGGCAAACCGTGTCTGCTGTGATGGGCTCAAGGGCTCCCAGGGACACATGTCCTGTTCTTCTCTCAGGCCTTCGATGCTCCTTAGTGTGCAGCACCTAGGGAGGTGCTGATGGGGCCTGAGGCTGGGTCCCACCTTTGGCCATCTCCTGTGCTGCCCTGCATACCTTGTAAGCCTCTCATTTTTTTGTATATGTAATTCTTTCATTTTTAATGTAAAGTCGTTAACATGTTTTTTTTTTTAAATGTATCTTTTAAAGGCCAATTGGAAATGTATTGATATTTGGTATTGACCCAATTCCCGTGTGTTAAGCTGAGGTACTGAATCATTCAGTGTAATTTCATCCACCAGAGTTTCACTTCGTTAGATTTTCAGGGGAGGAAAGAAACAGGGTTGTGACCAGAAATATGTGTTCATGCCATACTGATCTAATGCAATGGGAAACATTTGAGTGTAATTGTAACTCTAGGATGTTTTCTCTTTTATTCACCAGACTTCATGAGGAAATAATTGACTTTTATAACTTCATGTCCCCTTGTCCTGAAGAAGCAGCCATGAGAAGGGAGGTGGTGAAGCGGATCGAAACTGTAGTCAAAGACCTCTGGCCAACGGCTGATGTGGGTATCTTGGGTGTCACACAGCACATTCAGGTCCGCCACAGCTGTTCCTGTCAGCTGGCTGCACAGACCAGGGTTTCTCACAGCCAGGTGGCTCTCCAGGCTGTCCGGGGAGGGTGTGTTTCACTGCTCCTGCTCCAGCGCCAGCCCTCTGCCCTGCAGCTCACTGGTGCACACACAGGACCCGTGGCCTGAGGGATTGTTTTTTAAACTGTGTGAAGGTTGTTCTTGCATTAAATTCACCTAGAGGCTGGAGAGCTTATCCCCTTCCCCAACCCAGCCTCTGTCCCATCAACCTGAAGGCATATGGCACAGTTTGTGACCACTGCAAGTATTTCTCACCTGTTGCTTTCCCGTGAACGTCCAGGTGTTGATTAAAGAAAGATTGTGRGTGATGGGAGAGCTTGTGCCCCTGACCAGGTTGCTGATGACCCTCAGGCCTCCTGTTCTGACCATCAGCCTGGCCTACCAATGACCTGACCTGCACAGGGAAGGGTGACCGTCTGCTGGTCGGAGCCCTGCTGCCAAGCTGCATACATGCTTAGTGGGCAAGGGCAGCATCTCTTTTAAAGCAATACAATTGCTTAAATAAGGCTGTAAGCTTCAGTGCCCTAGAACAGAGCCCTACCCGGTACTGTAACTGTGGCTCTGAGAAATTACTGGAAGGTTGGAAACAGGCTTTGGGGAAGTTCGCATCTGCGAGTTGATATATATATAATGTGTTTTTTTTTTTTTTCAAGGACCATAGTAATTTCATCTCTTTAATATTGAATCCTAAAAATATTTCTGGGGCTGGTCTTTAATACAAAGACATAAGGAATTTTCTTGTTGGTTGTAGGATTTTCACTTATTCACTCTCCTCAATTTCCAAGGAGGCTTTACTATTTACCTAGAGCATAGTGAGGCCTTTTGGGAAGTTGCCTACTGAATTGTGGTGCCTGTTTTAACAGAGCCCCACTTTCTTTCAGGTGCAGATATTTGGCAGCTTTAGCACAGGTCTCTACCTTCCAACAAGGTGAGTAGCAGATCGCACTGCACGGGTTAGTGTTCGTACTTCTGGGGGCAGATGGTGTCCGTGTGCACATGAAGGCTGAAACACGGTTCCTGGTGGTCAATCGAAGTCTAAAAATGGCAGCCAAAGGAAAAGTTTGGAGGCCCAAGGAGAAAATGGACAGAAAGTAAAATTTAATTTCCTCTTATACTTAATGTGTTGGGGAACAAAAATGCTGGATGTGAGAAGCAGAAGAAAAATGAGAGGTTTTAGTCCATTTTCTGCTGCTGTTACAAAATCCCAGAGATGGAGTAAGTTATAATCAACAGGTTCATTTGCTTTTGATTGTGGAGACTGTGGAGTCTGAGCTCCAGAGGCCATATCTGCAAGCACCATCTCTATGGTGGTGGGGGCAGACCGCTTCACACGGAACCCTTAATCCACTCCTGAAGGCCCTGCCTCAGCACAGGCAGGTTTCCGTCCCATGACAGCGGAGGTTCTGGAGGGACTGCAGGGACTATGGGAGTAAACACAGTGGAGAATGTTCTGCTGATGGTTTGGGGGGATGTTTTTGAAATGCTGCTTTATGAAGTGGTAATGAAGGACTGGGTGTGTAGCTCAGTATAGAGCAGCGTACCTGGCATGCAGAARGCCCTGTGTTTGACCCCCAGCACCAGTAAATAAATAAGTAAGTAAATAAATAAAGTCTTAAGAAACAAAATTCTACTTAATATTTTTTGAGGATTTTTTTTATGATAGAAAAATGTAAAGTTCACATTATTTTCAGTGTCTTCTCATTAAGGTCTCATGATATTTAAATAAATGTCATGTGATTGTTTCTGTTACCCATGGCTGGTTAGCATCTGGAGGCTGAGAGGCTGTGATGGCATAATTTTGGGGTTGGTGTTGGCAGGGACAGTGGGGTACTGAGCAGATCCAGGGCACTCAGAGATCCCTGGGCCAGGAAGCATGGTCCGGTGTGGGCAGCCCAGGAGTGGGTGCTGGGAAGTATGGGCACAGTGTGGTTTGGAGGGAGTTTTCTTTGTAACCCCCTGGGTAACTTGGTGCTGTTGGGAAAAGCTTTCCATCCTCTGCTCTCCATCATGACACATAGTCGTAAGCTGTGCCGCACGTTCCCAAGGGAGGTGCATGTCATGGGATTGTGTTGTGGCTCGGGAGGCGTGGTTGATATGTGCTTTCTCATCTGCCCAGTGACATAGATCTGGTGGTCTTTGGAAAATGGGAACGCCCTCCTTTACAGCTGTTGGAACAAGCCCTGCGGAAGCACAACGTGGCTGAGCCGTGTTCCATCAAAGTCCTTGACAAAGCTACAGTGAGTGTATGGGCTCTGCCTGGGGGGGAGCCTCCTCACCCTGCAGGAGCTTCTGGTTCCCTGAATGACTAACCCATGCTGTGTTTCCCGTAGTTCTCTATTTCTGGAGTAAATGTGATTACTATGTTCATGGTTGTTAGCTGAGAAAAGGTTTAGTGACAGTCTGAACTGTGGAAATTTGTGAATCTTCAGACTGAATACATCCCTTGTGAGTGTGGATAAGAAAAGGAGAGACATGTCTACAGAGGGAACACCAGCACTGGGTGCTGCCCATTTTGGAGTGTATATCTCAGTGATCACACTGACATTTATGATTGACTTGGAAGAGATTGCCGTCTGCTAATTTATATTCCAGAAAGTAAACTTCCTGTACTTTTTGCTGCTAACACTGCATGTGGAAAGCCTCTTGCCCTGGGGAGAAATTGGAATGGAGACTGCTTCCCATGTGTGCTTGTTCAGGAATAGCAGTTCAACATGGAAGCAGCTTAGGGCCTGGAGGGCACTCACCTGTGATGTGACAGTCATCAGCTGAGCTGAGCTGTGCTGTGCACTGGCATTTCAGTCTTGAGCTGGAGCGTCCACTCATTCTCAGTGTGGTGATGTCCCACAGCAGATTGTCAGAGTTAAGGCTGGGTTGTAGTCCTTCTCACTATGACGTGGGGTCAAGGTACTCCACTTCCCTCCAGCGTCCACTCTGTCAGATGTTTTCCCTGGGCAGAGAGGGAGTTTAAATAAAAACCAGGTGAACATCTTGATGCATTTTCACTCTGTGCATGCCATATCACTAGCATCTGAAGGCAGGCAGTGCTTTGAGTCGTTGTTGTAATAATTTCTCTGTCTCAGTGGGCCTGCTGCTATAGCAGATTGGTTACTGAGTACCTTTCTCTCTGCTGTCTGAGGGCCAGTTTCTGCTGTTGACTGGCAGCTCTTCTCTGCTGTATACCCTCCAATAAAGCCATCATGGGCAGGAGCCTATGAGTGAAGGCTCTATTTAAGGCACAGTCTATTTGGAACAAGCATCCAAACATCAGTACTGTAGAGTTACTGCTCATTGTCAGAAGTTGACTGTGTCTATTAACGTATTCAAAAACTCAGCAGAAGTGGGGGACCATCACCAGGCCTGTGGTGTGGCATCTCCTCGGGGTGTATTCATGTGGGTTTGGGCCTTCCCACCTGCCTCCTCCTTCCATCAGACACCTGTTCTACTTGAGCTGCCCCCTCCCTTTTTTCTGTAAAGTCATCATCGGTGGGGTGGAGCGTGGGACGCAGAGCGAGAGTGCCACTGTGTGACCATTAGATGCTGGGGCTTGTTATAGTTTTCAGGGACCACTGAGGWTAAATCCTGACAAAGGCCTCTTTTCCTTTTAAAAACTGGTATTCATGATGTCTAAGCTCTTCTGGGGAATAAGAAAGGAAACTAAAACTTCTCTTCAACTTTGGAGACATTTTGAAGCCTGACTGTGGAGGATGTTGCATATTAAAGTATAGTTTTTAAAATTAAATCTTTACAGGTACCGATAATAAAACTCACAGATCAGGAGACTGAAGTTAAAGTCGACATCAGCTTTAACATGGAGACTGGTGTCCGGGCAGCAGAGTTCATCAAGAATTACATGAAGGTATTGTCATTGGCAGGGCACAATCCAGACAAGGGAGTCGAGGCCTGACATTGGGTGTCCTTGTTCTTTCACATGTTAAAAACCTTCACCTGAATGTAGGCCTCTTTACAATGTAGACCACACGYTGCAGCAGTTTTCCTATAGATGCTCTGAAAGCATAACTGTTTTTCAGATTTGCTTTTCTTACATCACCATTTCCTGAAATTGATCTTATTTTGGAGAGCTTGTTGAAGTGTGCTTTCCTGTTCCTGCAAAGTGATGTTGCCTGAGGTTGGTGTGCCACATGGACACATCTAATCCCAGGGTCCTCGGAGGTTGGAATAATCATGAGGAAGTTTAGAGTGACTCATTCTGGAGGCCCCAGTGCCCACGGGGTGACGGCGTTCCCTGCTCACCTTATGGCACAAACGTACTTAACCCCTCTGTGCCTGGAGCTCCTCAGGCAGGTCCCCCTCTGCCCTGGCATCACTGCCTGGGAGGGGTCTTCACTTGCAGATGCTCACAGCCCATTGGGAAATGTGTTCTTAGGTCCCTAAAATTGAGACCGATCAACTCACACTCTTGATGAGGATCAGTGGAGCTTTGCTTTCTCTCATGAAATTTGCTGTCTGAAATTTCCTTAAAGGTATATCAACTAACCAGTCGATCTTCTTCTTTGGAATTTCCAGAAGTATTCTCTGCTGCCTTACTTGATCTTAGTGTTGAAGCAGTTCCTCCTGCAGAGGGACCTGAATGAAGTCTTCACAGGTGGAATCAGCTCGTACAGCCTGATTTTAATGGCCATCAGCTTTCTGCAGGTGCGTATGTGCTTCCTTGAGAAGACGGTGGGAGGCAGGCTCTGAGGCTCTGACCAGTTGCTTCCTGAGTTGCCCACAGGTCTGGCCTTCCCTTCCCAGTTCTGTTCTGATTTGAGGAGGAGATTTCTGGCTGTGGTACATCCCCTCCAGGTCAGCACTGCTTCCTGCCCCATGGCAGCTTGTTTCCTGGCTAACCCACTGTATGGGTACAGGGTGCTCTTCCAGATCCAAAGTCGAGTCACGTCAGTCCGAGCCCAGGAAAACACTCTCGGTCATCAGCATTAAGAAAGTGTTCATTCCTTTATTTAAAAAAAAAAAAAAAAAAAGTGTTTTTCATGGTACTCAAATGTGATTTATAATGAAAAAAAAAATGTCAGAATCAAGTCCAGTACCAATATCTAAAGAAAAAATATCTGGGGAAAAAAATTTGAGAGCAAGTCTTCTAGCATTGATGAAACATCAATTTTTTGCCCTAAATTATACATGGTCCTTATTTTGTTGAGTAACGAACGTGATAGAAAATATAATTGTTAAAGCTYATGGATATGTCATTGGATTTATCTTTGATTTTTAATGCATGGCAGAGTCTTCATTAAAGCATTGATTGTTTCGCTTACAGTTTCTTGAGTGGGAGTTTCGTTCTTTTTTTAAATTTTTTTTTAGATGTTGGCAGACCTTCATTTTATTCATTTATTTATATGCAGTGCTCAGAATTGAACCCAGGCCTCATACTTGCTAGGCAAGTGCTCTACCACTGCCCACAACCCCACCTAGGGTTTCATTCTCGACCCATTCTTGCCTGTGTTTTAGTCACACTGCTGTGCCCCCGTAGCCACACGTTTTACATGTGTGATTGTGTGCAGTGAGGACTGTCTGCCTGGGGTTGGTGTCTCCCATTGCCGCTGAGCAGTGGAGAGCAGGACTGACTGTAGTGTTACTGCCTGTGGCCCCTGTAGCTTCCAGCATATCCACAGAGGCTGGGTGGAGACAGTCCCACTGTTGCCTGCACATACAACTAGTCTGCCTGTCCTTGTAATGTGGCTCTCAGCCGTCCCTCCCTAGTGCTTGGACACGTTGAGCTGAACTCAGCCTTCTGTTCTGTCTCTGGTCTTGATTGGGGCTGGTTCAGTGGCCATGTTGTAATGACAGCCTAGACTTGCACTGTGTGTTGTGTGGGGCCTGTCAGGCCTCCTGTTACAGCTTTGTGGCCCTCGCCCCTTCACCCAGTGCCTTGCCTGTGCCCCCAGCCTGGCCTGCCTCGGAGCGGGGCCATGTAGCACCCATGATCATTTTCTAGCTGATGGGCATGGTGTCTAAACTCTGTGCCAGGCTGGCTCTCAGATATTTGTCTTCACTGACAGGAGGGACTAAGGGTGGGGCAGAAGTGAGACAACTTGGCTTGCACTGTGGAAATAAGCAAATCTTCAGAAGCTACCGCCATTCAGATTCTTGTTTTCACCTCATGGAGCTCTGAGCCTCGTGTTTTCATCCCCTCCTCTGCCACAACTTTTTCTTGGAGGTAACCTAACCATTGTTGGTAGGACGGTTGCTGCCCAGCAGAGTTTTCTGTTCGTATGATAGTGCTCTATGTCCGCACAGCTCACACAGGAAGGCCACAGGCCACGTGACTCCTAAGTGCTTAGAGTGTGGCTGGACTTTTCATCAGCGTCTAAATTCATTCAGATAGCAGTTGCTGCATGTAGGCAATGCAGGCTGGGGGCAGCTGAGAACTCTGGGTCTGTTAAATTGGTGTACTCAGGAGTTGCCAGCCGACAGTAGCTTAGGTAGGGACAGATCAGCTTGAAGACAGGGTGGGGCAACACCAGCACTGGCGCTCTTCTGCATGACAATCAGGGTGTGAGTATGACATGTATATTATGATACAATACTCCTTACCTATGCACAGCTTAAATCCATCGTTGTACCTTCTAGTTATATGTGATATGATACTGTTCTATCTAATACTGCCACCTAATGGTCCTCTTTCAGAATGATGACATTAAGATGACTGGAATCTATCAAGGTACATTCACCATCTAGATGACTAAATTATGCAGAATGTGGTCAGTGTTTTTATCGATATTTGGCAACTTGAGGCCAATCAGATGTCTGTGTTTATAGGATGTTGCTTGTATGGATTACCAATTTCGAAACTTCARAGTAATAAAATGTTCATAGCAGGGTATCTGATCTCTTTTCAACGTCCTTTATTGACAKTTGGTCCCGGTTGTGTTCAGGCTCTGGGTGCCTCCTCCCTGGCGCTTTGACTCCTCCTGGCTGATGTGTGAGCRAGTGCCCCGGAGTGGGGTTCCCTGCAGAGGCTGCTAAGCAGCCTGCTCCATCATCTGCCGCCTTTTTTCCAGCCCTGCTTGAATCCACACAAATTGTGGCTGCCTTGCTTTTACAGTTGCATCCAAGAATTGATGCCCGGAGAGCTGATGAAAACCTTGGAATGCTTCTCGTAGAATTTTTTGAACTCTACGGAAGAAATTTTAATTACTTGAAAACTGGTATTAGAATAAAAGAAGGAGGTGCCTATATCGCCAAAGAAGAGATCATGAAAGCCATGACCAGCGGGTACAGACCATCGATGCTATGTATCGAGGACCCCCTGCTGCCTGGTAAGAGCACCTTGCTCCACACAGCAGGGGGCCGGGAGGCCTCGTGGGTGCCCTGGCAAGTGGGGGTGACAAGTTGGGCCCTGAGAGCCCAGGGTAGGTAGTCTGCTCTGGATGCAGGTTCCTCCCGCTATCAACATAGTTAATAGTCACACTTTGAGGATTCCTTTAATTCTTATGATTAGCTTCCTGTCTTCTAAACGTCTTACATTCTGTAATCAGCCAGAATTAAGAAAAAGGTTTTTTTGTTTTTTTTTTTTTAGATTACAAAAGCATTACATATTCACCACAAGCATTCACTTCACAGGGGTATCTAGTAGAAAAGCAGAGTTTTCTTTGACCTCCTCCCCTGTAGATGTCCATTTCTCCAGTTTTCCCTGTGTGAAGAGCAGTATTCACCATTACGAGTTCAGGGGTAGATTCCATAACAACAAGACTGCACTTGGCTTTGGACTCGACAGGCCCGGACCCCACTCTGCCTATAGGTCATGATCCAGTTTAGGGATGGCCACGGGGAAGACCTGGGGCTGGGCCTCCGCCCCTCCCAGCCTTGGTCCCCTTGGTGTGTTGAGGGTGCTTATTGTCTCCATTCCTTTGGCAACAGTTTTTTAATCTTTGCCAACCTGATAAAATCATGTGATGTACATTTTTATTTAATTTACATTTCYTTARTGACAGTGGGTTTGATRCGTTGTTATTTGTCAATTCCACAAATGTTTTTTGAAATGGTGTTCTTATTGAAGCAGTGCCGACAGGTGACAGAAAGGGTGGAGGAGACCAGCTGCAGGCACAYCGCCCCTTTGTGCTCCTTTCCTGTGCTCGCTCTTTCTGCTGGGCTGTCTTCTCACTGGCTGTGTGTGCTAGGGAGACCTTTCTGACCCACATACCACACTTCCCTCCAGTTTGTTCTTCCTCTGTATTGGCTGTTTTTATTGTTCTGCTCCTGTACAGTTGTTGTTTTAACATCTTCAGATTTAGTAATTCTTTCAATTTTGTTTTATGGTTTCTAGGATGTGAGATTTATTTCCTAAATATCATTTGAAAGAAAATACACTATTGCCTTTGGTTGTGATTTTGGAGTGTGTGGCTTGTACTATGGTCTGGAGAACTGATTTTCTTGGTGGCATGGTGACAATGGTGGCTGTGTCTGTTGGATCTGTCACTGGAGACTCCATTGTCTTCAAGTGTCCACTTAAATTGTACAGGAAAAACACAAACCTGCATTATCACTAGGTTAATTTAAATTTAGAAAAGGTAAAATTTTAATACTTGGAACACATCTCCTTAAAAGTCCATACTTGGCCTGGGCTGCGAAGAGGATGGTTCTGAGGTTGAACCGCTTTCCCTGGGAATGTGGAGCTCCTTGCAGCTGGTTTCAGTGGTGGCCTTGTTTGAGTTAGCTATTTGCCCTCTTTCCAACACCTGAGGATTCATATCTGAAATGTTCTGTCCTAAGGATTGCTTCCTTCACGTTCCACTACCTTTAACTGAATCCCAAGGTCCTCGGGGTGAAGTGCCCATGTGCACAGCTGGAGCCATCGATCATAGCAGGTCAGCGCAGCTGGTCTGTTTCAGTGGCCTTTGGCTTCTTTGTGTGTTTACCACCTGGGAAATGAGCAGACTTTTTAGGAACTGTCACACCTCCTGAGGCTGACGCCTACCTCCCTGTTGGCGGTAGACTGCAACCACACGGACGCTGATTCATGCTGGGCCTTGGGCACTTGGCTGCCAAGAGTCGCACTCTGTGATTGACAGGCATCCACAGATCTGGTTTCCAGGAGTGCTGTTGTTAGCCCAACTCCACTTTGCTGGTAGAGGCTGGAAGTGTTTTGGTGGCTTGGACCTGACTTCGAATAACACTGTGAGAAGCTCAGAGACATTTCTGGAAACTGGCTCAAGTMTGTGGTGAGTTTGACATTTACCTTTGTTTTACAGGAAATGATGTTGGCCGGAGCTCCTACGGGGCCATGCAGGTGAAACAGGTGTTTGACTACGCCTACATTGTGCTCAGTCATGCTGTGTCACCGCTCGCCAGGTCCTATCCCAACAGGGACTCCGAAAGGTAGCTGATGTCCTRTGTTTGTGTCCCTCAGCTCCTACAGGATGGCAGCTATGCCCTTCCTGTGTCTTGTACTTCCGTGGCCTTTATTAGTGGATGCACACTCCTGTTTAGTTGAACTTGCCTGTGTTTGTRAAGGGAGACCTTTGCAAGAACTCAGGGCGGCTGTCGATTTGCCTGTGGATAATGTTTGGGGAACTGATGTTTGTTGGGGTATACTGTTTTGGGAGGTGATASTAGGCTTTTAAAGCTTTGGACTGGTGCTTCCCCTCCGGGCAGTCCTTAGGCGTGCACGTGCGGTTTCTAAGTGAAGGTATCTGAACACTTGCCTCAGTTGCCTTCCGCATGTGTGGATGTCCCTTGTGCTACATTGTGGAACACTTTTRCCATGTACACTTTATTGGCAGCCAGAAATATTTTTTCTGATGCTGGTTTATGCTGCCATGGTGGAGGGAGGAAAATGAGTGGTCATAGAAAGGAGGAAGAATGTGGTTCTTGAGCTTAGTAGCTCACAGCATCCTTACTTCCATTCCTGGGGAGGATGATGGCATAGATGGACTTGGAGGCCTGTCCCAGGAGCATCTCCCTGCCCTGGTGGTGGTAGAGACCATGGGGTCAGTCCTGGGCCCAGTGACAGGCACTCAGTGTCTMTTGGCACTGTCCCTCCACTGACAGTGCCCCAGCACAAATGGAAGTGTTAGATGTGTGTTGCCCTGTGGGTGGGAAGCAGCTCCCCTGGGTTCGAGCAGCTGTCTTACTTAGCAGATGAAGGGTCAAGGATGTCACCTGTGTGGACCCACTTTTCTGCACTGTGGTCTCAGTGCATTTGAGCTACTCTTGTAGTCTTCATGCTTCTGGAAGTCACTTTTGCTCTTCCCCACCATCTCTGCTTTACTGAGATGGCACACTGTTCTTGAGATGAAGAAGCTCCTCAAGGGGCCATGGCTGCCTGTTGTACCATGTTGATGTCCACCTTGTCCCTTACAGTACTCTAGGAAGAATCATCAAAGTGACTCAGGAAGTGATCGACTACCGGAGGTGGATCAAGGAGAAGTGGGGCAGCAGAGTCCATGCAGCACCAGATCTCGGTGAGAAGCGATTCCACGTGCTTGTGCACAAGTACTTCTTTGTTTCTTTGTGGTCAGTTCTTTGGACTAAGAAAATAGCTAGGTCTTTTTCTATAATCATTAATACGCTCTAGACAACACTCCTCAGTAGAAATATGGTTTGTGCCACATGTAGAATTTAAAACTTTTAATGGCTGCATTAAAAATATAAAAAGAAACAGATGAAATTAATTTCAATAATTTTATTCARCTTATCTTAAAATATTAACATTTCAATGTAATCAAAATAAAATTATTGAATTATTATATAGCCCTTTTTTTGCATTAACTCTTTGAAATACAGCATTTTTTATACTTATAGCACATCCTAGTTCAGGTGCTAAATATCACCATTGTGTATATCTAGAAGAAATTAATTAAAAACATAACTTTGGGTGAATGGCAGAAAGATGAGGGAAGGGGGCAGAGGTGGGGAGGGGACTGAATCAGAACAAGGTTTAGTCCATGCTTTATAATTATATCAAAATGGAGTCTACCGTCGTGTATAAACAGAACCAATAAAAATAAAATTTTCATGATGACAAACCCTTCATAACAGTTTAAAAAAAGAGAAATAACTTGATCTGTATTTAGAATTCAGAAAAGCTGCAGTTGGAGATGATTTATTTACATTATTACAACATTTTAATGTTTTCTAGTAACTAATCAAATATAGTTGTTAATATGAGATTTATGAAAATGTGGAATGGACTCTGTCAGTCACACTGGCAGCTCTCCTGGGCTTGCCGGCACCAGGGCCTGATGCTGCCCTTCGGGACGGTGTGCATCTGCTCTTCTCATAACCCGTCCTTTGTGCCCTGCGACAGACAACAGGATCAAGATAAAGGAACGAGTCACTACGTGCAACGGGGAGCAGACTCAGAGCCGAGAGCCCGGGTCACCCTATAGCCAGCGCCTGACTTTGTCCCTGTCTAGTCCCCAGCTCCTCTCTTCAGGCTCCTCTGCTTCCTCTGTGTCTTCACTTTCTGGAAGTGACATTGTGAGTATAACCTTGCCCTCCACCACCTTCTGATGTGTCTGCTGGATGGTTTGTGTTCTTGGTAGGCACCCCCCCAGCGAGTCCAAAACCCATTTCTCAGTTTTAGGAATTTTTGTTTTTTCTGTGTGTGCGCGCGCGCACGCATGCACCCTGAGTCTTCATCTCCTTGTGCGTGTGTGTATGTATGTGTGCACCTGAGTCTGCATCCCCTTGTGTGTGTATGTATGTGCACCCTGAGTCTGCATCCCCCTGTGTGCGTGTATGTATGTGTGTGCGCACACCCTGAGTCTGCATCTCCTTGTGCGTGTGCGTATGTGTGTGTGCACCCTGAGTCTGCATCCCTCTTTGTGTGTGTACGCACCCTGAGTCTGCATCCCCTTGAGAACCTGGGGTCCTGGTCACTCTTGTGACCTCTTGGTCAAGAGCAGTGATACTGTTCCAGTCAAGTCAATGGACTTTCTTAAACAGTTTTTAAAAAGCCTGTATAGAAATGAAAATAGTAGGAACCCAGCTGTGTCCTCTGTGTTTCACGAGGCCTCTCTAGTYCTGAGACCCCCAGAGGGCAGTGTGGCCTACTGCATTCTCCTGTTGTTCAGAGCAGGGCTTACTTATTCCCAGAGCAGACCCTGTGTCCCACCTGTACCAGGCAGTGCTCCTCCGTGAGCAGCAATCCTTGTTGTTTTTTTGTGTTGGACTCCAGGAYTCCGACACACCACCCTGTACCACACCCAGCGTTTACCAGTTCAGCCTGCAGGCGCCAGCAGCTCTGATGGCCAGCCTACCCGCTGCCTTGCCAGTGCCCAGTGGCAAGCCTCAGTCCACTCCCTCCAGAGCACTGATCATGACAACCAACAGTCAGGTATGGCTTTACTTCCAGGATGGAGCCCAGCTGTGAGGAGCACTAGAGGAGATATGAGACGCTTTTGAATTAGGAGAAGAGCTTTCTCAGATTTCGATTTGGTCAGCATTTTTATCTTTTCATAGAAATTCTCTCATTGTATCTCTGTCCCATTATATATAAATTGAATGTGTACAAACCAACATACTGATTTCCTTAGAAGAAAAGGCAGCCAGTTTCTGAAAAGACGTTGGTGTGTGCAGATATGCTTCTTGGAGTAGTTTGGCTCTACAGGGATCTATTCTCACAGGAGGAACTCCTAGGCTCCCAGTCACTCAAAGCCCAGCTCCATGATCTCACCTGTTACTGAGTGTGACATGCCTTGCTCAAGATGTGTCACATAGCCTGCCATCCTTCACTGACCCAGCATACAGGACCGCAGCATGTGCCTAAGCTATCAAAGGGAATTCTGYCCCGGATGTTCAGTTGCCTTTTCCTGGTTATGACATTGGCCCTGGCATCTGACCTTCTTGTGTCACAAGGCATTTGTTCAGCTTCTTCAGGGCTCTGAGAGCCCCTGGCAGCCACTGAGCTTCAGCCTCATGCTGCTGTTGCTGCTTGGTCCTCATATAGCCTATGTCGTTTAACAGAACGTCAGACCGTGGTCCAGTTTGCCACTTACCCATCTGTCTCAGGCCAGTAGAGTGAGGCCAAGTGTGCAGCTTGTTGCAGTGTCCACACAGGCTGAGGCCTCCCTCCTTCCAGTGGAATATTGAGCAAAGCATTGTCTTGAAGCACTTGTATGCGTTGTCTGTCCTGTGCAGCTCAAAAAAACAGGATGTCCAAATCTGGGGACTAAGCCAGATGATGTTAGAACTGGGCGGAGTGGCTCTCGCCTATAATCCTAGCAACTTGGGAGGTCGAGGCAAGAGGATTGAGAGTTCAAATCAGCCTCAACAACTTAGCAGAGACCTTGTCTCAAAATAAAAAAGGGCCGTGGATGTTGCTCAGTGGTTAAAGCTGCTTGGTTCAAGCCTTGGTAACAAAAAGGAAAAAGAAAAAAAGATGCTAGAGTTGGTGCACATTAAGTTGTCAGAGAGACCCCTGGRGATAGAGCTTGCTGTCCTGGTGACCCATTTCCCCAGGTGTCTGTGCTTACAGTGAGGTGTAGCCAGTGTCATGGTGGTGTCTGCTGGCTTTTGGCTGCTGGCCCCCTGCACTGGAGGGCTGCCTGCGTCTGTGATGCCTGACGGTTAGGTGGTGGCATTTGGGGAGTCCTTCCCACCAGCAGGCCTCTGAGGTGGAGGGGCAAGGGCCATGTAGAGTAGTCCAGAGCCGGGAGGGGCCCAGGCAGGGACTGTTTTGCCCACTATTGTCCTGTCCTGTGTTCAGCCAGGTTGGAGCAGGGGATTTACTAGGGATCTGAGTGGCAGTTTTCTGAGGACTAATTTTTTTGAATCTTGGTTTGGTCCTCAATGAGTTTTAAAACTTRCGAGTTATATTATTGGGCATACTTCATATTGTTGCTATTTCAGAATATAAGATCTTTCTAATTCAAAGGAAATGCTGACAGCTTATAACAGACACAGCTGCTCYGTCGAGCCTGGGTGCAGCTGTTGCCTTTGCTGTGGTACTGGGACTTGGTGCTTCCACTTGTACATGGGGATGTTTCTGTTTTGTTCCTAGACCAGGTTCACTATCCCTCCGCCGACCCTTGGGGTTGCTCCTGTTCCTTGCAGACAGGCAGGTGTTGAAGGAACTGTGTCCTTGAAAGCCGTCCACCACGTGTCTTCCCCAGCCATTCCCTCGGCGTCCCCCAACCCACTGTCGAGTCCTCACCTGTATCACAAGGTACGTGCCACACAGGGCCCACATGCCCATGGCCTATGACGCCTACCTGCTGCGTCTGCTCCGAGAGGCTAGTGCGTGCATCCTCTCTTAAGAGAATCCCAGGGAGAGTGTTTTAAAAGGGAATTTGTTTGCTGTCATTCAGTTTTACGTTTGCTTTCTTTTCTAAACAAAACTTTTAAAATATTATTTTAAAATGTAATATAGTGTAATTATTCACCCAAAGCATCCTTCTTTTGTTGAACTGATTAGTATAAAACAAAAACTTGAAGAAGGCAAGTTCAAAATGAAGACTGTTTTCCCACTTACTTTTTAAGTTCATTTTATTGCTAAATATTTTGGTTTTCAAGAAACAAAAGACAAAGTTAAGAACCACTGTTGCCACACCTCTGCACAGTGCTGTTTTAATTTCCTGGTTTAATCTTCCCTGTCCCCAGTGGAGGTCAGTAGGGGTAGCTGGATGGCCCAGCCCTGTTTGGTGTGCTCAGCTCACTTGGTCTCCATGGGCCAGAGTGCTTCTTGCACACCCCTGGCCGCTTGCCTCTCAGGCCCAAGGAATTGGAAGCGTGCACTGAGAAAACAGGTCTTCTTTGTTCCTGTGCCCTTGGTGCACCTGAGTGTTGGAGGACAACCTTCCAGGGACCTCTGCAGGGACTGAGGCCTTCCCCTGGATGCTGGTGATGCTTGGTGCCTTTGCTAGTCCTCATGCCTCTTCCTCGGTCCCTCTTAGCTCATCTAATGCTCTTTTGCTGGTAAATTCTTTATTCTTGGCCCTGTGTCATTCATTCCTGATTATTAGTTTTCTTTAAGTAATTCAGTAACGAGCACTCCTTGGCTGTGTCCACCCCATTGCAGCGGGCCTTTTTCCCCTCATGGCTGTGGGACCTGTCAGACGAGGGAAAGCAGCTTTGTCACTCCCGTGTGGGTTGCTTTCCTTCTTTCCCAACGAACAACTGTTCGTTTTGCTCAGAGTTGCCCTGAGACCAGCTCCATGAGCCGTGCAGTGCAGGGAATGTGCCTTGGAAGGCCCTGGATGTGCATGTACTAGTGAGCAGGCCTGAGGGCGGGGGCGTGCCAGCTTGGCGGGTGATGCCAGGTGGCAGGGAAGACGTGGCCAAGACCTTGCTCCTGTGTGCAGACCAGCTGGAAGTGAGTCTAATGAATTTKTGTAGTTGGACATGGGCCCTCCATACTTCCCTCAGCTCAGTGGAAGTAAAGCTGTTTTTCTCTTCAAGGTGTGAGAGTGCAGATGTCTGTCACTCCTGCCTGGGTGATGTCACATCAGTGTTTCCATGTGGGCAGCATGGCAGGGTGGTGCGTTAGGCATTGTATATTCTCCCTTTCTACTTGGTGACTTCCTGCCACTGGAGATGGAGGGTGCTCGTGGGCGCTCTAGTGTGCTGCCTGAGGACTGGGCCTGGCGGGGCTCCACTGGGAGGGTCTTGGTGGGCCTGTGTGTGTGCTGTGCTCCCACACTGCTTTCCTCTTTTTCCCTCCAGCAGCACAACGGAATGAAACTGTCCATGAAAGGCTCCCACAGCCATGCCCAAGGTGGTGGCTACAGCTCTGTGGGCAGCGGAGGCGTGCGGCCCCCTGTGGGCAACCGGGGACACCACCAGTATAACCGCACCGGCTGGAGGAGGAAAAAGCATGCGCACACCAGGGACAGCCTGCCCGTGAGTCTCAGCAGATAATGGCTCCTGGCTGTGCGCCCACCCCCAGACTGCCCAGTGGCCTCGGCACCACGGGGAGCCGAGACCAACAACTAGCACCTGCGACGTGGCTGCCCAGCACCCGGCTGATCACTCTGCATGTCTTTGTGTGGTGGTCGCGCCCATTTTAAAGAACAGCCCCTGTGGCGCCCACGGARCCTCACCAGAAAGGGGTGCACCGCGCCTTCCAGGAGCCCCCGCCCAGCCCAGCAGCGCCGGCTCAGGACCGCTGGGATGCGGGCCACTCTCGTGTCTGCAGTAGCCGTGTGGGTCCTTTGCGGGTGGGGTTTTCGTTTCCTGTCGTCAGCCGAGAGCCGCCGTCCGTCTTCCCCAGCGTGCAGGGCTGGAGGCCGTGTTTTACTGCCCTCAAGTTTTGTTTGAAACTTCAGAACTGTTTTTCTATGTAAATATTGAAAACTTATGATTTGTGCAATAACTCAAATATTTTTTATTTAATTTCATATTTTCACATAAGTTATATTTAAGGGAAGAGGGAATTTTTTTAAACAAGCTTAGATCCTTTCCCAAGTTACATTTTCTAAGTTGGGTTCATCGTGTTGGCTGGTTGTCTGATGAGCATCATTACGAACACCACAGAGGGTTTGGAGTTTTACTTTTACGTCTTTCTCTTGGTCAGGTGCAGGGAAACCGCCTCTGAGCAGCACCCCAGGGGCCCTTCCTCAAGCCCCAGGTGCTGCCTGCTCTGACCAGGAGTTCTAACATTTTTGCTTTTGGTTCTTTTAAACTAGACAACAAACCCAGCATTTAAAGTGCCAGAAGTATAACTTTCTAAGGAGTGAAAAGGTTGTCACATTATAAAATCTTARATGTGAACGTGGGAAGCGTCAGTCAGTTTTAGTGGCATGGCCTGTAATGGTGGGTTGATGGATATCATTACAGACAATGGCACCCAGTTTTAGGAATGTGGAGAAAGGAATTCCGTTGATTCCGTGGAGGAATCTGCATAGCAGTATGCATTCGTTCTGTTAAGAGCAAATACCTGAGAAGCACCTGCGCTGCCAGCGCGCCAGGGGAGCACCTAACGTATCACAGGAGAGCACAGCCAGGGTGGCCGGGCGGCTGGGGCYGCTGTCAGAAGCATACAGGTATACTATGCAAGTGTATTCTGCCACAACCACTGTCTTTGTTACCTTTTTTTGAACAAGATTATATCCATTCTGCCTGACCCTGAGTTTTGGGAGCACCACAGTTGTCCTGGGAGTTGGTTTGTGTCCTGTAGGCCCTCTGACTTCCTGTTTTTAAAATGGGTTCTGGCCCTGCTAAATAAACACTAAGGTAGATTGGTCTTTGAAGCCCACTAGTGGAGAGTGTCAAGGAAAGAAGCTAACGGCCATGACATCTGATCGATACCCGGTGGTGGGGAGTTCTAGACTGATGTCTGACCGCAGTGACACCCGACGAGGACCAGCTCCACGGGTCAGGGTCTGCCTCTGAAGCAGGACCGGCCCTGTCGTCAGTGCTGCCGCCTGCTGCTGCTGCGGTGTCCAGGAAGCCTTCCAGAGCAGCAGCTCCTGATCAGCAGCTCGTGATCTRCAGCTCGTGACGATCGGAATCACCCAGAATATTTAAAAATATTTAAATTGTGAACCTATTGATAGAGAATATTTATAAACACTGATCTATAGGCCTGTACTAATCTCTACGCGTTAGCAATACTGACTGTAAGCCTACATTAAGGAAACCATTGTGGGGACAGTGAGTGTCCCGTAGGTGCGTGTTTTAAAGCTCCATTCGGAGACACAGGTACCATGTCCGTTCCCGTCATGGTGAACCAAATGAATTGGTCTGGCTGCCACTGTGGTCACGTGCTGCAGGTTAACAAAAAGATATCATGTTTTGATTTTCTTTTGTGTGTGGACAACAATGTGGAAGCTAAAATTGACATATTTTTATGTAAAGTTTTTCTATTCTTTGATTTTTAATAAACTTTGGAAACCAGTTTTGTGTGTTAGTAGATGCATGGGTGAGGTGGTGATACGTTAGCTCATGACCTGGTTAAGCAGGATTATCCAGCCTGGAATAGCGAAAGAGGTGACTGGGCTTATTTTATCATTGGCACATTGAGGCCTTGGGTTCCAGCCTTCTGCGTGAGTCCAAAGTGAGAGAAAAGTCCAAAGTGAGAGAAAAGTAACAGAAGCTTGCTCTGTGCCAACATGCTAAGGGGGTTCCCAGCGGCCGTATGGTGTCCACAGTGCAGTGGTGGTCTAGCTCAGCAGTGCCCCAGGGTTCCAGCCACCCAGCAGTCACAGTGGAGCTACTATCCCTTGGGTGTGGCTCTTAGGACGCTTCCTAGGGTGCTTACGGCCAGCAGTGGCAAAACTCTGCCCAGGTTGTCTGGCCCCTGCAGTGTGTGCTCTGAGACCACTAGCCTCAGCGCCCTGGCTTGGCACAGGTGGACATTGGGGTAAAAATCACCCTCCTCAAGGGGTTCACAAGGGCTCCCAGCAGTGCTGCCGGGAGAAGACAGCCCCACCCCTGCAGCACGCCATTCTAATGAGTTTGTGGAGGCAGAAGTACCTGGTGGTGCTGGTTAGGAAAGCACAGGAGCGGGAGGGCCAGTGTGGGTCTGGGAAAGCTCTCAGGCAGTGAGGCCTCCAGCACTGGCCCGGACAACAGAGGGAGCCAGCCCCGTGCAGACGCAGCAATGGCCGTGCCAGCAGAGGCTGGTAGCAGATGAGCCGGGTCATGGGGGCCACTGGAGGTTGGGTGCTGTAGGACGACGCTACAGCAGGTAAGACTGATCTAAGGCTGCAGGTGTTCTGAGTGGAGATGGAGCCGTAAGACCATCTGAAGGGCTGGTGGGGGGAGGGGACTTGCCTTGTCCTGCCCCTGGGTCTCACTGAGGGGCCTGCCTGCAGGACAGCTTGAGGGGGCCAGAAGGAGCCACAGAGTAGGGACTGCAGTCGCCTACGGGGGGGTTGACTGTGCTCTCTTGGGAAGCTGGGGGCTTCTGAGGGACGGAGGGGTCCTATCCAAGCAGGTGCTGTGCACCCCTGTCCATACCTAGTGGTATGCATCAGCACACTGGAGGCTGCTCCCACCGGCCACTGGTATGCAGGGTGGCCGTGCCTCCTTTTGATCACTGGCAAGGTCCTCTCCATCCGATCCACATTCCAGGATTCCTCCTGATTTCACCACAGGATGGCGAGTGGGAAGCTGTGTCCCTGTGCTGCTTGTCACAGGATGGAGAGTGGCAAGCTATGTCCCCATGCCCAGTGTCACAGGATGGAGATGGCAAGTTGTGTCCCCATGCCTGATGTCACAAGATGGAGAGTGGCAAGTTGTGTCCCCATGCCTGATGTCACAGGATGGCAAGTGGCAAACTGTGTCCCCATGCCCAATGTCACAGGATGGCGAGTGGCAAGTTATATCTCCGTGCCTGACGCCTAGTGGTACCAATGAGTGGAGGCGCCCAACCCACAGATGCATGGCACACGGTGACATCTGTGATCCACACGCACCTGTCCCCACAATGCATAATGCATGGCTTTAATCACCGCCCCCCCCCCCGTGGTGTTACCAAGATGTCTAGGGCCACATGTGGCTCACCCGTGTGCTATACCACTGTGAGGTGCTTGCCTGCTCACAGGCTTCGATGACAAAGGGTGCTGGTTTAGAAGGGGCCACGCCAACATTGAACAGACATCCTGGACACCCCACACTGAGGGCTGTCCTCATTGCCTGAGAACTGCTCAAGGTGTTTTATTTGCTGTCTCCAAGGCCTGTGGGGAGGTGCTGGGTCCTGCCAGCCCTGGGCATGAGGGGTGAGCACATGGTAGCCTCGTTCACCTTTAACTCCAGCACATGACTCAGTCTTAGAGGACAGTCCATGGCTTTAGATGCATGAGGATGAATCTCAAGTGATGTCAAGAAACCAGACTTAGAGGGAAAGGGGCTGTGCATGAGTCACCCGGAGTCTGAACCTGTCTTAGGGGCCCTCTGCCATGGAGTACCACCACTCGGGGTCCTCCAAGGCTGTACCCTTGCAGCAAGTGTGGACCCTCCTCCAAGATGAACTTCAAAGCTGTGATGATGCTTAGGACTGTAACCAGGTGAGTGTTCATTATTAGCATTTTTGGTAAGAAGTGTGTTACTTGATGCAGATTTCTAGGATCGCAGCCTGTGTTTCAAGTCCCAAGTGAGTTGTGGGTGCAGATGGTGGGGGCCAATTCCCATCTCAGGAGACTGCAACCCCTGCCTCATAACCCAGAGCAGGCTAGAGTTCCCAAGTCTGCTCTGTCCTCGGTGAGATGCAGCAGCCAGGCCGTGTGCAGAGCGGGGCCACACGGGCTGTTGGTCACACAATGTGGCACCCCTCCTCTTTCTCTGATGGCAGCTGTGTCTTCCGCTGGGAGCAGGCCAAYGTTATTATTGAGCCCCACCGAATTCCACACGTGGCCTGTGTCCATGCTTTGCTGTGCATCCGTGGTGCTGCCTGGTGACACCGTGTCTCTTCAGCTTGGTGAGAGTGTTGACGTGTCTGTGATAAAACTACTCAGGCTCACAAAGTGTGGGAGATTTCCTGCTGGGCTTGGTTGTCATGGTGGTTTTTATAGGTACAAGATTCTGCCCTCTGAAAAAGTGGATTCTGGAGACGAGACGTTGGCTCTGACCGTTGAGCAGGCTGCCTCCCGCTCTGGGTCGCGGCAGCTTGTCCGTCTGCTCTCACTGGGTCGCTGCGGTGCTGCCTCCTCCCTCGTCTCCTGGCTGACTGGCCGTGCACCTGCTTCAGGATACGTGGCCCACGGGGTGAAAGTCCTCATCCCCTGTCTTTCCATAGTGTCCTCCTGGCAAAAGCTCCGTGTGGACTCCCTGACTCCCAGGGCCCTCAGCCCTGTGCCCAGCACAGGGAAAGCCATAGAGTCCAGCCTCGGTGGCACAGGTGACTTGGCTGAAGCAGAGGGCTCCAGGGCCTCAGCCAGGATYGTAGGACATGTGTCAGAGGGAACCCTCTGCCCTGAGCAGCCCTTTCTCCTGATCCTTTTCCCTTCCCTGACCTCCACTTGGTTGTAACTCTTGTCCCTTCCCCCAGCTCTCCTTCCATGTCCCCTAGAGGGCCTCACCTCCCTGTCGGAGAGCTCTCCAGAGTGACCCCCTTCCTGCCTGCCTCCCTGACCAGCAGATCACACAATCACAGAGAGGCGCCTGCTTTCTAGGGACAGGTCCTCTTTGCAGGAGACCTGCTCTTCCTTGTCCTCTGTCCCACCAACCCTTAACCCCATCCAGGCATCTCCTGTCCTGAAAGCGCTCTTCACCCTCTGGGGGCTCCTCCCTCCCCTCCCTGCTTCAGCCCACTCGTGCTGTCATGGGACTGCTGGGGGAGACCAAGCTGCCCCCTCAGAAGGGAGTGCGACGAGGAGCCGATTTCCCTGAGAGGCAAAGGGAAAGTATTTTAATAAATGGCCGTGTGTTTTCCTTTCCCTTTCTTCTTGCATTCAAGTTTATAACGTTGCTCATTTCATATCTAAAATTCTTAGTCTGGGGCTTTGAGCAATTTCAAAGAAAAGTGGTATGGTTTAATGCTGTCATTGGACATTCCAGTACAGTGGTTTTCAAATTATTCTAACACACCATAGTAGATGCTGCTGATTATTAGCCCAGTATCTGTTTACTTTTATTACTTCCTAGGATTTCTAGATTTTGAAAAAATTAAGTGCAAAAATCCAAGTTCAATTTGAATCTAAATAGATAAATGTTGACCACCTCTGAGGCAGGTCCATGACTGTGGCCTTGTGACCGTGGCCCATCTGGGATGACTTTGCCAGCTGACCATCATAGGCTGAGGATGAGCTGGAGCCACAGTGAGGCAGGTCCTTACCAGTGTTTCATCTCAGTCGTTTCCATGTCTTAATCCCCGATGGGTTGGCCTGACTGCTGTGCTCCYGCCCAGAGGGGAACTGGCATGGTGAGCCAGCTCCGGGTGGGCACCGCTGTCCCCCTGGAATCCCTGAGGACCATCCGACTGGGGCTGCCTCCCCCAGCCAGGCTGAGCTCTCTGCAGGCCTTCCTGAAGTTCCAGCTGCAGGAGCAGTCTCACCGTGAGAAGGCAGGGGGCACTCTAGCCTCCGCCTGCAGATTTTCTCCTCCACACTCCTGCCGTCCCCCGCCCAGGCTTCTTGTGGGCTGGGCTGGCATCTCGCCTCCAGGCGGGTTGTTCCCTAAGGTAGGCTGGGCATGAAGCTAGTATTAAGGAGAAACCTATACAGCACTCAGACTTAGAAATCCCAGGGAAATGAGGCTGGAATGTTTTTCTCTATTGAAAAAAAGAACGATCTGTAAAATCCTCACAGTGACAAAGAGGATGAGGCTGGGGACAGTGACTCTGGGGAGGGGGTCCTGATGGGCTGGGAGGGAGATCCTGGCTTGAGGAGTTGAGGGACTGTTTCCCACATTGCTGCCTGTCCTTCCCAGGAGTCTGGCCCCTCTCAGACTCAGAGGCCTGGGAGTTGGGAAGGATCAGGGAGACCCGTCGGGGGCTGAGGCTGGCTCCAGGTTCCAGGTCTCTGTCTTGCTGTGTCAGCCCTGGCAAGCGATGGTGTGTGTCCAGCCCCTTCGCCCTGGGGGAGATGCCGTCCACCACCTGGAGGTGCGGCCTGTAGCAGCCAGTGTGCAGAGCGCTTTGTAAACCACCAGATACCCCGCCAACTCCTGCCCTGCACCTGCTCCTCCAACCCTAGCCTGCAGGTCAGGGCTCTGGCTATGAGATTCTTGCCCTTCTCCCTCCTCCCTCCTGGTGCTCTTGGCCGGCCTGCCCTGGCCGTCGGCTGCTTGGGGCCTGGTGGCCCATCCCCAGCATGCTCTTCAGGTACCACCTGAGGGCTGAGGAGGCGGAGCACAGGGCAGCTGCAGGAGGCCGGGGCTGGGTG